TTATATTGAACTGTATTGTTGCTCTATTATCTCCTGTTATGTTGTAAAGCGCTGAGCAAACTGTTGGCGCTATATAAATCCTGTATAATAATAATAATAATATAAAGAAAAGTATTTTTACTTGCACATGATTGGATGATGAAAGTCAGCAGAGCTTCAGCTTATTCACTAAACTAAGGGAAAATAAACTTTTCAAAGTACAAACCCCTTGCAAAGCAAACACTCTATTTGCCTTTTGTAAATCAACCTCTATATCTATAACTTAATAAAACAGAATATAATTAAAGCATATGTAGAGCTTAAACTTTTTTTCTACTTTTATACAGACAACAGTAAATAGCTCACAGGAGTTCAAGCCTGCAATTTAAGTCAATATTATAAATTATATAATTGCATTTATCATAAAGACACAGCAGATCACGTGATGAAGTAAAAAGCCATTCACAGTGGCCTTTTACCACATGATCAGCTGTGTCCAATGACACAGCAGATCACAATGTAAATACAGTTGTCGGTTATCGGCAGTACTTTCCTCATGCTGTGATAACCGGCAACTGTATTTACATTGTGATCTGCTGTGTCATTGGACACAGCTGATCATGTGGTAAAAGGCCACTGTGATTGGCTTTTTACCTCATCATGTGAAGACATCTGACCTTCTTATCAGTGCCCAGCAGTGCCACCCACCAATGCCCAGCAGTGCCCACCAGTGCCACACATCAGTGCCCAGCAGTGCCATCCATCAGTGCCACTCAGAAATTACGCCCATCAGTGCCCAGCAGTGATGCTACTCAGTGCCATCAGTCAGTGCCACCAGTCAGTGCTTTCACTCAGTGCTGCCAGTCAGCACCGCCCATCAGCGCCCATCAATGCTGCCTATCAGTGCCCATAAGTGCCCCCTATCAGTGCACATCATTGCTGCATATCAGTGCAGCACCATCAGTGCCTCCTCATCAATGTCAACCAGTGCCGCCTCATCAGTACCACCACATCAGTGCAGCCTATCAGTGTCCATCAGTGCTTCCTATCCGTGCCACCTCATCAGTGCCCATTAATACTGCATATCAGTGCCCATCAGTGCTGCCTGTCAGTGCAGCCTCATAAACGCACATCAGTGAAAGAGAAAAATTACCTGTTTGGAAAATGTTATAATAGGAACAAAGAAAAACGTTTTTTTTTTCACATTTTTTGCTTTTTTTGTTTATAGTGTAAAAAATAAAACACCCAGTGGAGATTACAGTAAATACCACCATAAGAAAGCTCTATGTGTGTGAAAAAAATTATAAGCATTTCATATGGGTACAATGTTGCTTGACCACGCAATTGCCATGCAAAGTGCGACAACGCTGAAAGATGAAAATTGGCCTGGGCACTAAGAGGGTAAAAGTGCCCAGTAGGCAAGTGGTAATAATGTGTGAAATGTCAACATATTTGGTCACTATTTTGGTTGAAGAGTGCGTCAACAAATGCACCAAACTGGAAACCTATGCTTCCTAATTACAAAAAGCCAAGTGAAGATCTAGCTGAGCTCCCGTGTTCAACACCACATGGGGTTTGATGGTGAGCATCCCCAACATCTGTGATGCTACCATCCAATAAAGAAATAGTTGCTATCCTTAAAATAAGTTTCTTGGCCTGTCATAACTGAAATATACTGAATACATTATCTTCCAAGAGTGTGCTGTGCATGCAATATACAGTATAATCTAATTGCAAATCAATGAGCTTTATCAATAAAGTGAAAAATGTGTTGCAAAGACAAGTAATCATGGAAATCCAGTACCTGATAAACAAAATGCCAGATTCTCTAATTCACTCAGTGAGCTAACATAATTCTAAGAACCGTGACAGAAAATGCAGTTACGTACAGGTATGAAGTAGTGGAAATAAGTAAATTACCAAAAAAACTCAATACCAAAGTCAAGTGATTGATATATGCCAAGTTCACTTCACTTTTTGATCAGACCAGGTGCAGCTTTGGACCATGAAGTTTCAGCATGTCACTGATTTTGCTGCTTTCCCTATAGAAAGTAAATGGAACTGAGATTTCCACATAGAACCATTCTTAGATTCACAGCAAATGTAAAGGAGATACAGGGAGTTCAGGAAATCACACAGAGCTCAGGGTCTACATGCAAGGTCTAGTTATGCCCCTGAATTCTAAACCTAATATTTTAAATCAATGCACCTTTATTTCCATCTTGTATACAAATACAGCATTAGAGTATTTCTATGACTGGGACTTTCTTTACCCTTTCTCATGTATCTTTCAGTATTATAGATTACTAACACCTACATATTTGAATGAATGTTAAATGTTTTGGTGTTTCATGATCACTTGACAAGCGTACCCTCAGTATAATGCTCACATATTCCTAAATTTAGTGGTTTTGAACATCCAGCTGCGGAAAAGTTCTAATTCAAGCTTACATTAAAAAATACGTTTTCTTCAAAATAGTATTTTCTACACAAACACATTTTGTACTGCATTTGGGTTTTCTGCATACTAAATCTAGAAGTCTATACATTTTTCAATCTCTTTGAAGGCACCTCATTTAGTAAAGGAAGGCCATGCTATGAATTAGTTCAAGCAATATTTACACTTCCCTTCTGAAAACATATTGTTCTTTTGGATAAGCAAAAACAATTGTAATCTATGAATGTTCTATGTGTAGTCACATTATAGATAAAAAACATATAACACTTTGACTGTTAATGTTATCCATAGTCAATGGGATACTTACCACTTCTAATTTTTTCAAGAAAACAGATAGGAACAGATATATTCCTCTTGATTCCTGCCATCATCCTTCATGGTTGTCACCAGTGCCTAAGGGTCAATTTTTATGTCTCAGACACAGTGACTTAGTGGTTAGCACGTGCCTTGCAGTAAAATGGGTCATGGGTTCGATTCCCGACCATGGCGCCTCCTGCATGGAGTTTGCATGTTTTCCCTGTGCTTGCGTGGGTTTGCTCCGGTTTCCTCCCCACACTCCAAAGACATGCTGATAGGTTAATTGGATCCTGTCTAAATTGGCTCTAATATGTGTATGTATGAATGTGAGTTAGGGACCTTAGATTGTACACCCCTTGAGGGTTAGGGACTGATGTGAATGTACAATATATATATGTGTAAAGCGCTGTGTAAATTGACAGCGCTATATAAGTACCTGAAATAAATAAATAAATAAAACTGTACCTTTAGAAAGGATTATGTAATAGAAGCACTGATACTTAAGTCAAGGTTTTTTGAGAAGGGATACAAAGCAAAGGATTTGGGTAAATCGATGTGGGAGGTGGGTTGTTATGATCATGATAATCTCATCAAGGATAAAAAGGCGGTTTAGGGTAGTTCCAATCAGTTTGGCCTTGCATTTTTTACCACTTTTTCTAGCCAACATTATGTGGTTAAAAACATCATCTGGAAACATTGGTCTGTTCTAAAGAACGATCGAACTTTGGGTCCTATTTTGCCTGATCATCCTACTGCCATCTTTAGGGGTGCAGGTAATCTTAGGAATAAACTAGCACATAATGTGCCAGATCCACCCACTAGGTCAATATTTTTTGCCAATATGGAGAGTTACCACCTCTGTAGATAGTGTAAAACTTGCCAAATGAATTGCTTTAGAGCAGTGGTTCTCAACCTTTCTAATGCCGCGACCCCTTAATACAGTTCCTCATGTTGTGGTGACCCCCAACCATAAAATTATTTTCGTTGCTACTTCAGAACTGTAATTTTGCAGTGGGAGGAATAGTGCCCCATCATTGGTATCAGTGGGAGGACTAGTGCCCCATCATTGGTATCAGTGGGAGGAATAGTGTCCCATCGTTGGTATCAGTGGGAGGAATAGTGCCCGATCATTGGTATCAGTGGGAGGAATAGTGCCCCATCATTGGTATCAGTGGGAGGACTAGCGCCCCATCATTGGTATCAGTGGGAGGAATAGTGTCCCATCATTGGTATCAGTGGGAGGAATAGTGCCCCATCATTGGTATCAGTGGGAGGACTAGCGCCCCATCACTGATGTCAGTGGGAGGAATAGTGTCCCATCGTTGGTATCAGTGGGAGGAATAGTGTCCCATCATTGGTATCAGTGGGAGGAATAGTGTCCCGCCATTGGTGTCAGTGGGAGGAATAGTGCCCCATCATTGGTATCAGTGGGAGGAATAGTGCCCCATCATTGGTATCAGTGGGAGGAATAGTGCCCCGTCGTCGGTATCAGTGGGAGGAATAGTGCCCCGTCGTCGGTGTCAGTGGGAGGAATAGTGCTCCATCATCGGTATCAGTGGGAGGAATAGTGCCCCATCATTGGTGTCAGTGGGAGGAATAGTGCCCCATCATTGGTATCAGTGGGAGGAATAGTGCCCCATCATTGGTGTCAGTGGGAGGAATAGTGCCCCATCATTGGTGTCAGTGGGGGGAATAGTGCTCCATCATTGGTGTCAGTGGGAGGAATAGTGCCCCATCATTGGTGTCAGTGGGAGGAATAGTGCCCCATCATTGGTGTCAGTGGGAGGAATAGTGCCCCATCATTGGTATCAGTGGGAGGAATAGTTCCCCATCATTGGTGTCAGTGGGAGGAATAGTGCCCCATCATTGGTATCAGTGGGAGGAATAGTGCCCCATCATTGGTATCAGTGGGAGGAATAGTGCCCCATCATTGGTGTCAGTGGGAGGAATAGTGCCTATCATTGGTGTCAGTGGGGGGAGGAATAGTGCCCCATCATTGGTGTCAGTGGGGGGAGGAATAGTGCCCCATCATTGGTGTCAGTGGGGGGAGGAATAGTGCCCCATCGTTGGTGTCAGTGGGGGGAGGAATAGTGCCCCATCGTTGGTGTCAGTGGGAGGAATAGTGCCCCATCGTTGGTGTCAGTGGGGGGAGGAATAGTGCCTATCATTGGTGTCAGTGGGGGGAGGAATAGTGCCCCATCGTTGGTGTCAGTGGGGGGAGGAATAGTGCCCCATCGTTGGTATTAGTGACACAAATGATGGGGCACTATTCCTCCCACTGACACCAATGATGGGACACTATTCCTCCCACTGACACCAATGATGGGGCACTATTCCTCCCACTGACACCAATGATGGGACACTATTCCTCCCACTGATACCAATGATGGGGCACTATTCCTCCCACTGACACCAATGATGGGACACTATTCCTCCCACTGACACCAATGATGGAGCACTATTCCCCCCACTGACACCAATGATGGGGCACTATTCCTCCCACTGACACCAATGATGGGGCACTATTCCTCCCACCAATGATACTTACCTTGCTGACCCCTGCTCCAGCCTGGGCTCGCTCTCTCCCTCTCCCATCTACAGCCTGCAGAAGCAAAATTTGCACTTACCTGTCAGCTGTCTTCCTTCTCTGGCCTCTCTCCTCTTCACTTGGTCCTGCAGCTCCCTCGATCTTCTTCGATCTGCGCGCTCTGCCGCTCGGCTCCTCATCTCCAAGCTCCACCTCCTCGCCGGTGATTGGCCGCCTGTGTGCCTCTCCTGAGCTACAGTTCCGGTGGCCAATCAGCAGCGAGGAGGCGGAGCTGTTGAGTGATCCCGGAGGTGTGGCCAGGTTACAGGGGCAGCATATCATCCCGCCCACAGATCGCGAGACAGAGCAGCGGTGTCTCGGTTCCTAAGACCATCGGAAATATGTGTTTTCCGATGGTCTTAGGCGACCCCTGGGAAATGGTCGTTCGACCCCCAAAGGGGTCGCGACCCCCAGGTTGAGAACCGCTGCTTTAGAGGAAGATGACCAATTTTGTTGCCCACACAAACTGGTATAACGTATACGATACTATCATTTATATCATGCAACCAGACAGTGGTTTGTATGCTAAGGTGCCCATGTGATTTAGAATATATAATTATACAGTATATAGCATTGGTATTTTGAAAGCAGTAAAACAATAAAAAAATCCAAATGATAAATATCTAGTCTTACAGTTCAAAACTTTTTAAATGTTTTCAGTGGTTTACAAACTGGTCATGCATGTTCACATCTGTTCATATGCGCTTTAAAAAAATCTCAGCAGCATACAAGCTCTCTAATGTTTATTAAAGAACAACGCTATGTGATGGCAAATACACTTGTTTGATTTACCAAATTATTTGGACGCAAATAATCTAATCTTAACATATATTTATGTGTTTATCTGAAGGTAAAGGATATCACCATACTTATTAAAGACTAGTCTGTCCTATTATATGTTTTTAATGTTTTTATTTTTCTGAATTAAACTTAACATGTGACCAGACTATGCACATTTAAGTATTAATGTAATAGGCATATTTATGTATGTTTTTGTTTCTTGACATTATATATATATATATATATATATATATATATATATATATATATATGGACTGGGTAATGTGCTAGGATGCCCCATTGTTTAATGGAATTGAAAATTATCAACCTACAGAGGACTGAATTCACCCCAAAGTCACCCCAAAGTCACCCCAAAACTCAAAGTGAAAAATTATGCAGCAGGCTAGTCTATTTTGTTGAAATTTAATTGCAGCAACTCAAAGTTTTACTCAGTAGTTTGTATGGCCCCCACATGCTTGCATGCATGCCTGACAATGTCAGGGAATGCTCCTAATGAGACAACGGATGGTGTCCTGGGGTATTTCCTCCCAGATCTGGCCCAGGGCATGACTGAGCTCCTGGAGAGTCTGCGGTGCAATCTGGCAGCGTCGGTGGGCCAAAACATGATATCCCAGAGGTGTTCTATCGGATTTAGGGCAGGTGAGCGTGGAGGCCATTCAATGGTATCGATTCCTTCATCCTCCAGGAACTGCCTGCATACTCTTGCCACGTGAGGCCGGGCATTGTCGTGCACCTGGAGGAACCCAGGACCCACTTCACCAGCGCAGAGTCTGACAATGGGTCCAAGGATTTCATCCCGATACCTAATGGCAGTCAGGGTGCCATTGTCTAGCCTGTAGAGGTAAGTGCATCCCACCATGGCCCAGATCATCACTGACCCACCACCAAAATGGTCATGCTGAACGTGCTGAACGGTGTTACAGGCAGCATAACATTCTCCATGGTTTCCCCAGACCTTTTCACGTCTGTCACATGTGCTCAGGGTGAACCTGCTCCGATCTGTGAAATGCACAGGGCGCCAGTGGCGGACCCAACAATTCTGGTGTTCAATGGCAAATGTCAATCGAGCTTTATGGTGCCAGGCAGTGAGCATAGGGCCCACTAGAGGATGTCGGGTCCTCAGGCCACCTTCATGAAGTCTGTTTCTGATTTTTTTGTCAGAGACATTCACACCAGTAGCATACTGAAGGTCATTTTGTAGGGCTCTGGTAGTGCTTATCCTGTTTCTCTTTGCACAAAGGAGCAGACACCAGTCCTGCTGATAGGTTAAGGACCTTCTAAGGCCCTGTCCAGCTATCCTAGAGTAACTGCCTGTCTCCTGGAATCACCTTCATGCTCTTGAGACTGTGGTGGGAGACACAAAAAACATTTTGGAGCAGTTGGACTGCATGTGCAACCTCTGTAGGGTCCAGGTATTGCCTCATGCTACCAGTAGTGACACTGGCCCTAGCAGGGGCGGACTGACAACTCATGGGGCCTCCTGGACAATAGGGGATCATGGGTCCCCTGTGTCCTTGCCCACACTCAAAGCACACCAACAAAGCCTATAAAAGGTACCAGGTGCATTTCATGGGGCCCCCTACTGACTCCGGGCCCTCGGGCAGTGCCCGCATGCCCGAATGGTCAGTCTGCCCCTGGGCCCTAGTCAAATGCAAAAGTAGTGAAAAACAGTCAGAAAAGATGAGTAGGGGAAAAAAAAATGTCAGTGGCCTCCACCTGTAAAACCATACCTGTTTTGGGGGTCATCTCATTGTTGCTCATCTAGTGCACCTGTTGTTAATTTTATTAACAGCAAAGCAGCAGAAACTGATTAACAACTCCCTCTGCTACATAACTGACCAGATCAATATTCCAGCAGTTTCATTGACTTGATGCTATACTCTGATTAAAAAGTGTTCCTTTAATTTTTTTGAGCAGTATATTTCTACTAACCAAATGGCTAATATGATATTATTTTAAGATTGAAATATCCAAATTTACCTAAATACATTTTGTATGTTTGCTGACAATATTGTTATTGCTTAAACTATTTATATCTATTATTGGCTAAATATTAAGATAACTAACAAGATGCAGCATATAACATTACAAATAACTGTGATTTGGCTTCCCCAACAGATGCTAGGGAAATCATGCAGAAAAGTCCAAGTACATAGCTGTTCTATGCTGTTTAGGAATATTGATTTTCCAGATGAAAAATAAAACACCTGCAATGAAGTCATGATAAAGTTTGTGAACACTTCTTCACACCTCAGAGCCTTGCCATATCAATCTTGCACTATGAATTATTGCAGAGAAAAACAACAGTGCAATCCAAACTCTGCTCTGCAGTTCTGATATAAAATCTCAGTATACCATTGTAAAAACATTTAATTCATTTACTTCAAGCCACCTTATGTAAGTAAATGATATAGGTTATACCGTATATTGTATATGCACTCCAGTGACAAACTGAGTATGCCCAGTTGAAATTGTTGACTATTTAACATATTTGAATATTATATTTTCATTTGAACAATTTCTACAGATATAGGTGATATCCCAGAACAAAACAAGCATAAACTGATGAACCGTATTCATTCTAAATTATAGAAAAAAGCAGATTTGACACATGGAAAAAATATGTACACCTCTACATTTACTATAATTTTAAATCCATGACGTTAGAATCAAGTATGCCAGATTAGGCGCTAACAATCTACCCACAGAATATACAAGTGTGACCTCAGGTATCTATGATCTAGTGTTCTCTTTATTTAAGAGGGTTGTGGATGTCTGAGTAAGGATTTTAAAAAACCAAATACTTTCAAATCAATCATTCCTCTGTAAGGAAAAAAATCTACAATTTACATACATTTTAAATCAATTCTTATCTGTCGAGGACTGGCCAGCCCAGCAAATTCAGATTTAGCAATTTGATGCTAAAATGTATCCAATACCCTCAAAATGTCATTATGGAGTCCACAGATAACTTATACAGCAGTTGGGGTCATAGTGCATGCATCTACTATTATAAAGAGATTACACCCATTTAATCTGAATGCTATGTGTGCCAAGAAAAAGCCTTTGCTGCTCAGAAATAACATTGGGAAAGGCTACAGTTTGTCATTGAACATGTAGGCAAAGACCATACCTTTTAGAGCAATGTGCTGTGAAGTGATGAATCAAAGATAGAGTTGTTTTGCCACAGTAACAATAGGCATGTTATGTGAAACTCATAGACAACTTTAAAGAAGAAAGTCCTCACACCAACTGTAAAGCATGGTGGTGGAAACTTTTATTTTTAGGATGTTGTGCTGCTTCAGTGTTGGGCATTTTAAAATCAGTTTAATATAAATTATACATAATACTGTATGAAAGTGTGTTTGATGAAAATGTGAGGCCACCTGTCTGAAAGCTGAAGTTAAACCAGAAATTGATCTTTCAACATGAAAGTACTCAGAGGCACACTACTAAATACAACAAGAAATGGCTGAAAAATGAAAGTTTTGGACAAGCCTTATCAAAGTCCTGATTTTAATTATATTGAAAAGATTGAGATTAAAATCCAATGCAAGGAAACCCACAACTATCTTTCAACTGAAATAATTTTGCAAGGAGTAGTGCTCTGTCTCAATGTCAGACTGAACAATCACATACAATTGTTACAAGAAGCCATTTCTGCTACAGGGTCATTACCAGCTTCTGAGGTCAAGGGCGTGCTTATTTTTTCACAGTACATCATTACATCTATTGATATTGTTGTTGAATAAATTATTGTTTTAATCAAAATATATCACTTTTATCTATAAACATTGATTGCTCAAATATCTGAAAAAATCATTTATTTATATGGAGAGTATATATATATATATATATATATATATATATATATATATATATATATATTATATTCACATATACTGATATATACTGTATATATTAGGGTTTTTTCTACTATTGAAATGGGCATAAAGTAGCAACATCAATAATGACAAAGACACCTATGTTGTACATATTCAGTCATTTTGTTAATTTCAGCATACCATTGATGTACGGTTTGCACCCCCCTTCCCCATGCTTGGATCAACACCTTAGCTATTCGGTCTTGGCAGTAAACATCTCATGCAGAAAGGTCCACAGGAAAACAGAGTACACAGAAGGTGTAGCTGAGGATCTAGTTGTACCAGGGAACCCATGACATCATGCAAACGAACAGTAATTCTGTATCTGTAGGAAGGACAAGAGCAGGTTGAAAATGTTGCCGGGAGCCCCTTGAAGCATAATGGTT